GTGAATACCTAGTTGAAGCTAATCTACTTAAAACAGGAAAAATATTCGCACTTTAATAAATGTATAAAAACGCACTTTTTCAAACTTTTAATATGAAACAACCATGGTAACAATGTACACCCAGATAAATATCCAAACTAAATTGTTGAAAATTCGTTTTTCTATTTGAAATGTATTCAATACGAACCAACTGATACACTGCGTTTTATGAAACGGTTTTGCACCGTTTGATTGTTCATGCGTTTATTACTGCGAAAGCGTGTTTATCAATATGTATAGTAGTTTACATTGCAAACATTTTATTTTTATTCGTTACGGACATCAATCATGGTTTTTTGGTCTGATACAGAAATATCGGCAAACATATTTTAATGAATGTAAGGCATAAAACATTTGAAACAATGAGCTAAGAAGTTGTGCGCTTTGAGACAAATATATTCTATCTATGCATACGTATATGGGTTTGAATATGTGCGAATCGAAATACATCCATGTTCGGAAATTATGCAAATTTCGATATATCGAGAGTCGATCGTTCAATATTTGATTCACTAAGGTGTCAACAGTTACTGGGATGGGAGGATGCTTCTAAACAAAACGCGGCATTGAGATAGTCTTTGTCAAATATATTTTTATCAACACTATTTGAAATACATCAAATGCAGGAAAAATCACTGCTGCCATTTAATTTTGTATTCAGCTTTGCCGAATATTTTTGTAATTGTTGTCATTCTGTTCAATATATAATTCCAACAATTGTTATGCGAACGAATCAATTGAATTCCTGCCATTTTCTATAACCACTTTTGCACAAACTTTACTAATCCATTTGCAGAAATATATCAACCTAATCCCGGTCGATGGATTTTTAGTTCATATTGCTTTATTTAAAAGAATTACAAAACCAATAGAAAAATGTGAAAAACATTAGGAAGCTATTCTTCTTCACGACTATTTAAATGCCTTTAAAACTCACCAGTTTCTTCCAATAGTCGCGAGTCTATTTAGTACAAATATACATTTCTTGCGAAAAACACAAATAACTCAGGCAACACATTTTTGATAGATTTAATAATCAGGCTCAGTAAACATTTCAACTCTTCCGAGCCGAAATTGTGGACTTTTGCAAATGCGACCGGCTTGAGATGAGATATGACGCAATCGGAAAAAGTCAGACGTTTGAAACTAAATTTCCCAATAATACAGCGTGTAGTAAAGGTGAAGATTAATATTCCCGTAAGACGAACAATTCCCATGGTTGACTTTCAGAATAAGTTTAGTGGAGTTCACCGTTTGATATATTGACGTAATTTATCTTTGACCGAGAATATTACGGAAATGGCGAGAACTCTTTAATTTTGCCCTTTCAACAGTTTTACACTGGGGTATTGTAGACTTGACTATTGCAGTTTGGCGGATATTTTAAATTGCCGATATTGACTGACTGATCACTTTACCTAATTTCCTAACCAACGTTGGTTTGCAGACATTGCACATTTCCGCATATTAAGTCAACTATTTCGATTGCTCCATTCGCATTCGATGTTCAAAAGTTATCTTTCTCCGTTTTGCTGACACAGAATCTCGCTTATGTTTACCACTAAGAAATTGAAAAGAACACCATGCCGTCACTAGCAAAGTTTGCTTTTCAACAGAAGTTCTATTTTGCTTACTAGACCAAGTTGTCTCCAAACACTGACTTGTTTGTTCCAACTTCTAAATTTTTCCATTATTTATGTAGATAATTCCATATGCGTTTGAAAAATCTTATCTGCTTACGTTAGGGTTCGACAATGGAAACATTTTAAAACTTTTCGTTTAAGTAATTTTATTAAAGTTTCGTTGGAAGTTGCACGTCTAGATATAATTTATGCATAGTAGGATTAATCATATGTTTCAGAACAGGATGCTGGTAGGATAGGAATTTTGTTAATCTTGCGAGAGTGCATTAAGCAAACTGTTTAATGAACAAGATGGAATAGTGGGAGACAATAAATGATCCAAAAGAACTAAGAAATAGGTTTCAAGAAATTCAGCAAAGGAAAAAAATCGAATTTGCTAAGCATGAAGAAACATAGATATTTTGAAAAACTTACGATTAATAACACTTTTATTGAAAATGTTTAATAGTAAGTATAACAGTAATCAGCAATAATCAACGTTCGATAAACTTTCAATTCCACCTCTTACTTTAGAGGTTTTAGCGACGACTCACTTACATCTGCGGGCACCATCAAATAGCGCAGTTCAACACCAACTGTTATCTCTTTGAATTATTCGTTATGTAGAATATGTGCCACTTTCAACAATTGAGAATCAAAATGTCAATCATAAAAATGTTGGGTGAATTTAAGAGTTCTTCATAAAACTTATACTATATATCAACAATAGGAAGCCTCCTTTTGCACATCCGTATACAAGGAATTTGAAAAAGAAAATAAATTAATCGTTCTATATATAGTAGTTCTAAACACTCTGACTAACATACTTAAAAAGAATTAGTAACTTAGTTTTAACTCTTTTCCGAGATTGCAACGTTAAAAATGCAACTCAATAAATGAACGTAATTAAAGCAGTCGTAACTTTCACACTATCAAAAACTAAAACTTTGCTGAAGTTTTGGACAAGGGATTAGTTTCATGCCGCTGCTAAAATTCGCTATAAATATATTAAACTTTAAGTAAAAACTGCTGCATACGAAAATATGTACAGTTACTGTATAGAATAAGTTATACATTTTATAATTTTCCTAATTAATTTCATTAATGTTAAGATATAAAATTGCATAAAAGAAGTTTTTTCCTGCTGCAATTTGTTGATTAAGTGAATTTTGCGGAATTAAATATGAGAAAATAGAAAAGAGGTTTTAAGAATTTCAGCAGAGGTTTTTACGCCAGTTAACTATTGAAAAGCCGCCCGAGAAGAAAATTTATATGACAAATTGAAAAGTTTCACTTGGCTCCAAGCGAGCAAAAACGCGATTTTTAACAGAGCATAAAACCATCTTTCTCAACTTAACCCGGAGGTAAATTCACGTAATTAGATAACGCAGAACATTTTGAAGTATCAAATTTGTTCTTTAATGATATCAACGCAATTACTTTTACGAGCACTTACTACTTGCTCCTAAAATCATTGACGGATTAAATGGGCGTCTTACAAGATTGGACTAAGTGAGTAACAATAAAAAGATAAAGAGTTTTGGTTGCCAAATTAGGAGTAAAGCCATATTTTTTACTAGGCTTTAAATACACTTTTGTCAGATACAAGGTAATTTCGGAGAACAGTTTTTTGAAAATACACAGATTTCGAGTACTTTTGCAGATTTACGATACACAGTAACTTGGTGGTAGGCATTTTGTATAAAATCCAGGTGTATTGAACAAGTTAAGGAAAAACTGAAAATACGCCACAATTGGAAATTTATTTTTATTCAATTCGACAATTTCGCCTACAAGCCAATGTGTCCTAAATTCGATATTCGTCATTTCCGTGGGATGTTGTGGCATTGGTCGCATTAAATATTCGCGAGACGGTGCATCCATTATATAGAAGTTTAGGATGCGCAACTTGTTTAAGGTAAGTTTTCGTAAATGTCTCGGATAGTATGTAGAGGACTGTTGGGATTTGTGGCAATAAAGTGGTTTAACTCATTCTTGGCGTAATTGGCTTTGTAAACTTTCATGAAAAGAATGTACGCTGAAGCCCAAGAATCTAGACTTTTCCGAGTACTTGATATCTCGACATTTCATTAATGCCCATTTATCTGAAGAAAACAAGGCTACATTAAGAAAAACATGTTTAAAAACAGATATTTCTTTTGGCTGAAAATGTAGCTTTCGACCATTACCGGAAAAATGCTGTAGGTATATTTGCCGATAACTTTGTATCAAATCAATATAGGAAGGTTCGGTGAGAAACGTATTGAAGTGCTTCTCCACCTAAATGGAAACGATTTATCAATTTCGGTTTACTTATCTGAAAGCTGCGATACTTTTCAAATTTGAAAGCGGGGCAGCAGCACATAGTCAGTTTCTATTAATATTTTAGAAACACGCTTTATGGCAGGCAACAATAATAGTCACTAACACATCCAATTTTTCCATTCTGACTTATGTGGAACTGGATTTACGTGAACACTTTCCTGCGGGTAGCAAAGAGTGCAACTTCGTTGCATTATTTAACTTTAGAAGGTATTTTATGGACGTAGCGTGAGGAAGTACATCATAAAAGTGTCGCATGGGATTATCATGTTGCAAAATGCAATGGAAATGTTTTAGTTCCAAGCTGGTTGCAATAACAATAAGAAAATTACTCTATGTTTCACTTTCATATTCTCAATGTGCATGCCAACTTGATCATCAGATCTGCAAGCCATCCTCCTTAGGATATAGATTCATCACACTTCAGGCCATCTAGTCCATTAAGTAATTAATTATTTTTAACGTTTTGTTGCGTCTGGTTGGTCTGCATATTTGCCTGTTTCCTAACTTTTCACGAAATAAGTGTGATTTTCACGAAACTAAGTGGCTTCGGATTTATTGGTTCGTATTCAACTCTACATCCTACTTGAATCATTTCGTCGTAAGCGAAGCCTCCAGTCTAGCGATCCCACACACTTAACCCATTTTCCCTTTCCGTCTTAAAAAATGAAAATAAATCAATTAATGTAATATAAAAGTAATGTAATGTAAAATAAATCTGTGATTATTTAAGTTTATAAATGCGAATAAATCGTTTTGATTTTATTATTTTGATTAAGCCAAAGTACTTGTTACCACTTTAACATCGATTCACAAATGACCCATGAGTTATCTATTCCAGCTATATATTATAACATGTCGATTTATCTTAAAAGTTATGAAAGAGTTGCGAGCATAGCTCTGAAAACGCGAGCCATAAATCGATGGAAACATAATATTTACTGCTTTTAACAAAACCTGGTTGAAGACCACTTTTAGAAAACTGCTACCCATCGCCTAGAATTAAAGTTTTAGCCATGTAAAAATTGATTTTCTTTATTGGCGTTTCTAATAATTTCAACTCGTTGCAACCCTGCATATCTCGTCATAGTCAAATCGTAATTTTTAACTTTCTTTGAACCAGAGCCATTAGGGTCAGTTTCCTAATATCCTCCAAAACAATAATGATTTTATCTACTATCTACAATTCTTATTTCTGACATTAAATTGAGCGAAAATAATGAAATCCATAAAACTATGCAATCATCCATTTAAATATTTCCTATGAGTATCGAGGTATTAATATAAATTTCGTAGTTACAAGGAAAGAAAATAAAGGCGTTTATCCACATGGACTCATTGTGCACGTTCTTATTTGAGCCTCTTTTTCACCATCGGCGCAACCATCGGATACACAATGTCGCCATCTAACTGTTTTTCCTACTCCGCAAGATACACTACAGTCGGACCATTTCCCCTGCAATACAGAAACAAAATTGTAATCTCACATATTAAAACATTATCAACTTTCTTTTTTAGAAACCGAATCTTGCAGCTTTGAAAATATTGAAATCTAGACATTCAAAGCTCCTTACGCCCTCTTAAATCCTTTGAGTATTCCTGTCCCAATTTTATACGCAAAATTTTGCCTCTCCAGATGAGCTTTTCGTATCTCACATAAAAGCCCAAACGTATTTTGAAATCGTATTTATATTATTAAAAGCCTTGAGATTTACAGTAAAAAATATTTAGAGAGCCTTTGAGGTAGTGGATGTGTTTAGAGGTTTTTTCCACTTTCGTGTGCTCCAATCGTTTTTTCTCTAACTAACTTTATTACTTCCTTTACCCAGTGGTCCCATTGCTTAATGTTCTTCTTTCCCCGAACTATGGACCGCTGAGAAACATTCTCGTCAATATACTGAATATCATCCAAGCTATCATACTGCATTTGCTCGACGGGTAGTTGAATTTCAGGATCATTTTGTATTACTTTTCCGTTTAAGGATTCTATTGCATTTCTAAGAGAGTTTTCACTTGCTTCCGGAGATTTGTTCGCATCTCCTTCATTTGAGTTTGGCACTTGTATAGCTGATAGGCCATTTATGTTGTGCAAGGTATTAAATATCAGTGCCAAAACTAAAAACAATTTTAAAATGTGTTTTTCAGACATTGGCAGTGTTTGTCAATTTTACGTTTACAACCTGTAAATAATTGGTAAACAAATTCTAGCTAAGCTGGAATAACTGCAATTTTATGTACTGTACCCTTGTCCTATACATGTTCGCAACTAACGCATTTTTTTTAAATTTCTATTTGCGAATTTAATTATATCAACATATCAAAACTCAAAAATATATAAAATATATTCGAATAAAACTTTATTTAATCAACTTCTACCATTTTCAATTAGTTTTGCCATATCATGGCTCAAAGCATAAAAAATCTGACAGATTTTATATCTGGAAAACTCTAAAGGGAAATTAAAATTTATGAGTTTTATCTCATCCATCATAAAAAAAAAAAAGATCTGAATGGAATATTCGCTGAAACACAATGTGTGAGTTGCACACGAAATGAGTGAGACTGCGGTCACTTGACAAATAATAGTTGATCCTTATTGATGATGGGCTTTTTACACTCTGGTTGTTCTTAATGCCTTTAGGATCGAGTGCTTTAAGTTAAGTCTAAAGCGGAAATTCGATAACGTTTATTTGAGCCTTGCGGACAAGGTAATCACTCTTGGGACCATGCTAGCGAAATAGTTAAGTTTTGCCAATCTGTATATGTACTTTTTTTTGAAAATTTTGTCATTTTTTTATGTGCATTTAAAATTAAACTCACTCATATTAATTTGTTGAATTAAACGATTAGCGAAAAAAAATGTTCAAAACATTTCTTAGGCAAATTCAAAAAGAACCGTCTCTAATTTGGTAAGAACTATATCTTCTTGTTAAATCCTTCTTACACAAGAAAATTACAAGTTTGTAGATGAACAAATTTTTATTTATTACGAACACTGCACAGCCTGAATAAAAACTATTTGTAATTATAAACAGCAAAATTGGAAAGAACAAACTCAATCAACTCATTTGCATCTTCTGCATCTTTACAATGTGACAAAGAGAGTTAAAACTATATTTACTTTGACAATGGATTCACTAGGCTATCTGTAGTCCACAATGCACGAATAGTTCTCGACTGAATCGTAGGATATAAATATAACAGGAAATGTTCTCTCTATATGTATAGCAGAGTTCTCTCAAAACCCGATTTCGCACTAAATCAATTCAAATCCTATATAAACATGATTTATAAGTGAAAGGTCAAAAGCCCAAACGCAAATTCAAAATTTACAGTCTCAGATATACATGACTTAGATGGGTTGTTAACCCTTTGGCATAAATCCTGCCCTTAGTAGAAAGCAACGGAAGAATAGTGTTCTATTGTTTGCAGATTCCACTTGGAAGGAAATATTGTGAACAACGGCATTGCCTTAAAGATTTTATGGCATATCCTATATTTTATAGCATTATGTTAATCGTCTACGTATTTGAATTTGCTTGCACTTTTAGTAAATAATGCATTTTTGAATTGTTAAGTTTTATAATTGTGTACTAATATTGGACCTAAAGCGTTTCGTCAGCAAAGCGAATATTTGACTATGCTCGTAAAAACTGCTCGCTAAAGCCTAGACATGAAATGTATTAAATTCATAATTTGTGCTACTAATTTGTTGAAAGAATCACGCAATGTTTGAATTATTTTTTACAATTTAGTTGAGAAAGTAATAATTTAATAATACCAATAATTTTCTGCAATATTGTAATTATATACGTTGCTAAAATTCATCCATCAATCGACCTCCTCAGGTGTATTATGGGTGTAAATCCAAGTTTGTTGCACTTCTATCGACTTTGATTCGAGTTGGAAAACACTCAACTGTGAAACTTGTTACTGGTAATATTAGCAATCAATTTCATATGATTTCAATCAGCTTGTAAGGCATTTGTCGATATGTTTAGTGTGTATCTGAACTTGCTTTAATAAATAGACGCCGTAATAGCAATTATAACTTAGTGAATCGGTAAATTTATCTGACTATTTAAAATACTGTTTTGGTTTTGCGGAAATCCCAAGCCATTATTCCGGTTCAATACTCCATAGCAATTTTTGTAAAGTTGGGAATTTTTTTTTTTTGAATTACGCATATTCCCTACCTTAATCCCCTTGGCCGACACATTCAGGTTTTTTTCAAACATGCTATAAAAAACGTAATACTCATTTCGAGTTTGGCCAAAAAAATTTCTGGCCTAAAATTACATGGCATTTTACTGCTGGCTTTAAGTGCTGATAGAGCAAATTGCAATTAATCATTTTCAAATCAGATTACACTCGAAATCACTGATGATAGGATGATATCGTATATTACGAAATAACAAGTTCGTATTTTGAGTCCTAAGCACGAAAGGCCAAGCTTTTTATTTCGTGCGAAAGCTTCAAGGCTGGTATTTGCTGTACTTCGAAAGGGCAAACGTGTTGCATGAAAACTTTAAATGGCCTATCAATCTCTGAATAACTGTTCCGAGAACAAAGATGATTTCTAGATAGTAAAACCTGACTCTTATCCAATTTGGCTGTAAATGCGGAAAATTATTCACTCCATTAATTCAGTAAGTTTAGTTGATCCATCGTTAGTTCATTCAATAATATTCTGCCCTAAGCTCAGCTCAAGTGACATACTTTGCTTCAAATTGTTTATGTCGATTTGAATTCTTATTTATCGTTAGTATTCTTCACGGAATTCTCCAGGAACTCTAACTTCGTTTCCACTTTTTTTCAACTCAAGGTAACATTTTATCCGTTGCAGTTATTATTTTTGTCTTTCGCATTCTTTAGAAGTTGCTATTGCTACTCCTTAATCCTTGGGAATATCTTAAAAACTTCACTTTATTTTGTTGCTGTAGTTCTCAAGATCTCAACTTAAATGTTGGAATTTACAACTTCAATGCACGAATTCAGATTTAATTTTTGGCAGTATTTTCTTGCTTCAGAGATGGTTGTGCTATCAAATCTGTTTTCGAATAATAATTACACCTCAAACCTATCGTCAAACTTGTGCGCATCAATTCAGTTAAAAATATTTACTCTTGATTTCAATTCAAATTTTCTTGATAATTTTTTCAATGCCCTTTATTGTTAGAAACGTTTTAAGAAAATTTCATCTCCTATAGTACAGAGCCCATCTGAATTTCGTACTCTATATTTTTAATTCAATAAACCTCCTTTAGCAAGGTACAGTAAAGTTTTACTTTTATCGCATGATGTTTGCGCGCTGGGAAATTGCGAAAGAGCGAGGAAAAGGTAAATGAAACTAAAGTGTTAGAAGTTAATAAAAATACAGCAGTCGATATTTTCAAAGTGTTGATGGCAACTTCCCAGTTTGTATTATATGGAAGCGGCGGCTCGAACATCAACTACGGTTTGGTTTAGTAAATATTTTGTTGATGTCGCTTCGTGTTCTGAAGTAAGTTACCTACGTACGAAAACGTTATAAGAAACATATTCTAAGAGGGATCGTAAATATTGTTTTGGTTAGAGTTTGAGAAGTATTACGAAAATGCTTTAAACCTCGATAACGATGTGAACAGTTTTAAAGTAAGCTTTTACTGGGTTTGCAGAAAAGAATAATAGTTGAAAATATGAGCATCTCCGTAGCATTAATAAATGGATAAAAATTTGATTCTTCTTTAAAATTGCATTAGAATAGTTAGTTTTATATCTGGTTTATCAGCAAAAATTTCAGATTTTTCTGTGACTTGAGCGTTTAGACACTTTGAAGTTCTCTGAAATCATACCTCCTACGCTTGACAAGAGTGAAAACATCTTATTTATCCTGTTTAAGTAGTTTAAAAATACTTACCATACAATTCCAGGAAATATATCATCTTACCAATGGAAACGAAATGGTTCTATGGAAGTCTTCTTCGAGTTATCCTCAGGGATATGCCGGCATTTTCGATTTACGTCTTATGATGTTTAGAGACATATTTCTCGTGGATCACGAAAATCTTATTTAAAGCTGAGAATATTCTCTACATGAGTTTACGATTTCCTGAAATTTGTTTAAAGCCATTCCTTTGCCTAAATAAAATATGCGACTCAATAAGCGAATGATATTTTCCCTATTTGCCCATATATTGAAATGGTATATCTCATGTACACAGCATTTGACGCGAAACGTACATAAAGATGAAAAGAAAAACTAAAATTGTCGGGAAAGTCAATTTGTTTATTTTTATGCGTCTTTGAATTGCAATTATGCGAAATTATAGTCAAAAATTGAGAGTAGCTTTCTTCACTAAATAATTCAAATCACTTTAATACTGTATAAAAGCTCAGAACGCACAGCACTGTCATAATGACAACTTCTATTCTTCTCTAGATGCTTAAAATTGTTACTTAATTCTAGAATTTTAATCATTGAAATACACCAATTTCGGTTAATCGCCATATTTTGATGGGCAAACTCGTGAGGTACGTAATTTGCGCCTGCCGACAGAAAATTTACTTTAGTATTTATTGCTGTAAACGCTGCAAAATCAAAATTGACATGACATACATAATTTTTCAAGAAATTTAAAAAAATTTAAATATTTTTATTTTCTATCTTAACTGGTTTTTCTGTTTTTAACAAAAAGGTCACTTGTTGCCTTGGTCTTTTGTTTATAGATTTTTAGCTCGTCTATACAGTGGCGTGCACGGAAAATTCGAATCGGAATTATTTTCCGCCATATGGCAGATTTTCAAAAACAGCATGTAATGTAGCGTGTGTATCATACACAGACCTGTTATGAAAAGAGCTTGTAAACCTATTATTTTCCCAATTTTTTACATTTTTTTAACTCTTAAACTTTGCAAAATAAAAATTGACATTTGCGTTAATTTGTTAATTTTGCCAAATTTGTAAATTTCAAAAACTTTTTAATTTTGAATCCAAAATGTATTAAATTAATTCTGTATTTTTTTTGAAATCACTCCGATGACATTTACTTAAAAACCGTTAAAAGGTTACATACTGAAAAAAAAATTTCTAGATACTTGTCGGCTTTATAAACATTTGATAAAAATACTTTTTGCCAATTGGAACCTTGAGAGAAAAATAGATTACGAAATTATAGCAAATTCATGAGA